GGTATGTTTCGATGGCAATGAAGCCAGATTACCAATCGAGTACCATTCACTGGACTTTGATAGATCAAGCTTTCTAATACAGATTGCTGTTCTGTTTTGAAAATGCAATGCTACCACAACATTACCACATCTTCATATGCAAGGGGGGAATGTGGGTAGATCGGTGTTATTTGAGGTCCTAAAATTGTGTAATCGGTCCAATGGCTATATGGGGTACGCTGAACTGATTTTTCTTTTAGGAAATTCTTATGTATTTGGTGCATCAATATTGCTTCTGCTCGGAACCACGAACATGAACTTCAAGCAATTCACTTAGTGGATCTGGTCGATAGACGAGATGTAAATCTATAGTTATATTATTTGCCCAGTGTGTTGACTACTTGGGCTTATTTTTCTTTGCCGTTAGATAAATCCAGTTCACCCTGTGTTTGCTTGTCTAATCTGTTTTTGTTGTTGCAGATCGACGAAGTTCACTTTCTTGTGCATCGTTAGACAATGTTCATTTATTATGCGAAGGCTAGTCAAGTCATTTTTTCTATCATCTTCTAATCAATGGCCGCTGAGGTATCCAACTCAAGTTATTTCTTAATTTACATGATTCACAAAATTGACTTATTCGGGTGATATGAGCAGTAACGTGGTGATGGAGCCGAATGATACCTAACAATGCACACATCTTTTCAGCTTTATCTTTCAGTCGCGATCCAAAAAATCTTTTCATGTGCACGGTTTCTCAGTTTATCTTATCTGACTTCGAAATTGAAAGCCTCTGAGTGGCCGGGCGTGGGTGTCTCCGGTTGCGGCTGGTCAACCTTTCCCTTGCATCTCGCGAAATGCTCCTATATCACCAAGTGTCTCAAATAGTCTCTGCTGAGTAAACCCTACTCACTGCCCTCCCGTGGCGGAATTGATTTCTCATCCAAGTGAGAGAACAAAAAATCAACATTCTGGGCTACAACCGGTTTGATGAACCATTGGCAGTTCACCTAGGGGAGTTGCTTATGAGCTCTGATTCCAAACCAACCAAGTAGAAGAGTACAATCTGGCTTTATTCCGCCCTAAGGCAAATCATAGAACACTTACTTTTTATGAAGATTATTGCGCCGTGATTTGTTTGCGACTCAGTCTGGCTTCCGATGGATGTGAAATATGAATTTAATCGATACCGTAATCCATGTTTTTCATGCTTTTTTTGTCACATTGTGTCAAACGATGCAATATAAGGAATTTTATCGCGGTGCTCGTTTATTTTCCGCCTTATCGTCTTTTTTGTCGCTGGACATGATTGGGCTCAAGCAGACGATTCCGTTGTCACACGCTTATCTCACCCATTTTGTTTCTCCACTCACCTTCCATTTCATAGGCTTCGGTCATTGTTTGGGATATCGGTGTACCTTCGGTTCCAGACTATAAAACCCGCTATCAGCTCCTGATGCGATTGCGTTGTCCCCGGTTGGATGTGAATCCAGTGCTCAACCTGGTCTTTTTGCCTCACTATGCCTATCTAATCGCGGGTTGTGAGGATGGCCTGTTTGCCTGGAAAGTGACCGATTTCCGTCTGGAGAAACGGGAACGCGAACCGGATATGGAGCTCAAATTGGATGTCGATCACGAGGTGTGCATTGATGCACTTGCCCAGCTGAGCGACAACGCCTTGGTGATCAAAGTGGTTGAATCCGGGGAGATCATGGTATTCGACTTCGCATCGGTTCTGGAGCGACGCAAAGGTCGGTAACTGGCCTTCCTGTCTAGTTTTGGTTATCCGTGCTAATTCGATTGCCCGATCTCATCATTTTTGTTAAACTCAACTCTAAGATAATCAGTGTTAGTTTCAATTTGTGCGATTTTCAGTTTCAGTTTGTACAACCATTAACCACGCATATTCGTGCGCCGGTTTTGGTTGCTGTCTTTCGGCTGCCAATTTGGGTGAAGAATAGGAGAAGATAGGAAAGTTGAGAGTGGAGTCGAACAGAAAATGGAGAAGTTCAGTGGTCTAAGGTTGCAAAGAAATTGAGAAGATGCATGAACGGCACTGTTTAGGACACCCAGCCATATCACTCAGTGTCTCTAACGATCGGTTACGATTATCCCGAGGTCCCCAACCAGAGAGTCTAGCAGGACCGATGTGACCCAGTCTCTCGGTTAGGGTTTTCATACCCTCGTGCCAGGTCTTAGCTTGACCACCCTTGGCTTTATTCCACCCACTATCCGCCTCGGCGAACATCGCTCGCCGTGACAACCTATTTCGTGACATGCGCAACACATGCCCCAACCAACGTAATCTGTTGAGGTCAACCACTTGATCCAGTGAGCGACCGCATGTACCTGATTCTCTGCGCATAACCTCAGGATTGCTCGTCCGGCTGTCCCATCAGATTTTTTTTTATTTTTTACTTCCTTTGATTGAATACACAATGATACAATTTTCAGGAAGGAGGAGGCGGCCCATCAAAGGACTGCCATGGGGAAAGTCAGGTGGTGGTGGTGGTGGTGGTGGCGTTTGAACACACGCCCACCGAGGTGGTAATTGGGTGAGCTTACCACCAGGCCACCACCGCCCAGATTCGAACGATGCTACGTAGACACCAGTGTTCAAACACCGACAGTCTGTCTTTATCCTGATTTCTTCATGGCCAAGTTTCTGCACNGTATAGCAGAACTGGAGGAACTGTTGCAGCATACACTCGACCATTCATAGACGAAATTTGTCGGATTTGGGGGAGAATAGGTGTCTCCGGTCTTCCAGTTTGGGTTCCAAAAGACTCTGCAACTGGCTGGTTGCAGACACTGAGGGATATGGCGACTAACCGACCGCAGTGACGTTCTTGTTGTCTTTTTTTCATCAGGCCAGTATGCTTGTTAAGGTGTGTATGCACACGTAGGTTGTGTACTCTGTGTTAACCATAGGGGTTCACTTTCTTTGCCGCTTAGACCCAATCCCTCTCCATATTATGCTTTATCACTTGATTTGTGTACATTGTGAGCTTGACAGCGACCAATGAATTTCGCTTCACTGTATCAGGCTGGACGATGATGATGATGATGATGATGTACTGTCGGATTTTGGAATGCTGTCTTCTGGCTGCCCTTTCCACCGTCCAATGAGGACGAACTAAATAGGAAAGTTAAAAACGGAGCAGTACCGAAATCGAAGAATATATACCAGATCGACGCGGAAAGGGAATAAATGTGCGAGCGTCAGGGTTGCAGATACTGAAACATATCACCCGGTGACTAATAGCAGAATAGGCTAGTAACGCGGTCTGCATAAGAGAAGCCTAAACTGGTCTATGTGGCTGAGTTATCCGGTTTAATA